GTTCACAACACACTGTACCCCCAGGGACCTAGTAAGTTAACAAAACCTACTCAAAAGAAGCCTAAACTAACAACAGAAAAAGCACTATGAACCGGGCTTATCTTCTTCTTCTTCTTCTTCTTCTTCACTATAAGAGCTCTAGAAAAAAACATGTTAACTATCCAAATCTCACCCGGGCTGAATTCCGGGCAAGTTTATACTTGCCTCCGCCCATGGGACAATCTTTATCGCATGTTGATTTATTTCTTAAGAAGTCGGTGTTTAACCATGACCATTTATATGTTGTTGTCTCTCATATTACCAAGCGAAATGGTTTAAAAATATTAATTTGTGTTGACCATGACTCACCACAAAATCAAACAAACATTGTGTACAAGGAATGTTTAATAATTTATATATATATATATATATATATATTTTTTTTTTAATTTGCGCCCGACAAGTTTACATTTGTTAATTATATAATGAGTCTATTAAATTTAATATTCACTATTAAAAAAGTTTCAGTCAAATATATCATATCGTGCATCGCCCGGGTCGCGACTAATAATCTTAGTAATTTTAGTTATCAATTTATTAGCATTTGTCAAAGTTCCCCAACCGTAAAAAATTCAACTGATAGTGTTGTCCACATATGTGCAAGCATTGGTGTTTTCTATCTATATGGGCCCGCGTGAGTAGGAAACAAAAAATATCTATGCGTATTAATTCAAATGATAGTGTCATATTTGTGTAAACATTGTGATGGGCTTGACAAGATAAGATTAAGTTAATTAGGGAGTGATGGGTAGGCGATCACACCTAGACTTGTAAACAAATTAAAATTTTTTAATTCGATTCGATACTCGTGATTCGAATTCGAATATATTTCGAATTAGAATTCGAATACGATTAATGTTTATATTCGAAAGTTAAACGATTCGAATTCAAATTTGTAGTTATTCGATTTGAAATTCGATATTCGATTCGTTAAAGATAATTATATAAATTTTCAAAATTATACGTAGTATAAATTTTGTTTATGATATATACATATATATATATGCCATATTCCTAATATTTTTATGACATAAAAAGTAAAAACATTTCAAATTAATAATTTGCCCTAAAAACATCTCAAATTGGATATGAAAAACCTAAACATAATTTTTGTAATTATAATATTTTTCAAAATTAAATTTTCAATTGAAACGAATCGAATACGAATCAGAAAATGAGTTCGTTTACGATCGAATACGAATTCATCAGATCGAATATCTTAATATTCTCTTTAGTTCGATTGGTTTACAACCCTAATCACGCTCATAATTTTGACTCACTCATTTTAACTCAAATTAACTAAATTTCTTTATCTAACTATTATCAATATGATTAAATAATATCAGTCATTATACATCACATCAACTTTAATTCTATTTCATTCACTCACGTACTTTTAACTACCTATCAATTTCGATCATATTTCATAATTTAATATCAAATCAACTTTAACCATTACATTATAAATATTATTTAATTACAATCTCTTTCATCACATTCAATTAATTTTATTCAAAATAACTTAGTTTAACTTAAGATCAAATTTTGATAGATTCCTACTGGCTTCGACTCCCCTACCAATTATTTTCACCACACAAATTCATCTAAGGCTTCTCTTTCTTATTGCAAAATAACCAAAATAGTGTCCTTTACATTTTTATATAGCCATAGATTGGTTTAGGTAATACGTGGTTCACTAATGGGTGTAGTTCGTGTGATGGATTATCAGCTCGAGTGAAATGTTGAGAGCTCACTTGAAGTAGAGGTCGATTTACCTGACCTCGAGTGACGATTGGAGAAATACGGCAGTTCAGCTCGAGTTAGGGTTTTCGTACGATCTAAATACACTCGAGTTGATGAAATATAAGGGAAGTCGATGAATCGACCTTATTTGTTATATGAAGGAAATTTATAGGAAGAAGACTTTCCTACGTGAAAAAGTGATTTTGCCTTTTTCGTCGCGTAGGTTTTATGCTTCCTTCCCACCACTGGAACTTGCTTTGCTCTCGCTCGGCTCACTCCCACATGTCTTCTTCCCACCATAGTCATCAGAAAGATCCTTCATTTCACTACAGTTGGAAACTCACTGGCCTTCTCGTCTCAAACTCTCCGATGATGTTTCGCCAGTCGGAAGAGGTGACAAAGTTGAATGAGGATCTGATAAGGATGCAACCTAGATAACTTTGAGTGTTGGAATATTTACGTTGGAAACTCTCTTAGCGCTCTATAAATTTTTGGAAACCTGTTTGTTGAACAAGATCATTTCGTGAGGTGCAGAACACATCAATCTCTTGTTATAACAAACCGAGTAACGCATGTTAAAATTATCGACCTCTCAATAAGTTCACATAATTTAATCAAGGGAAAAAAAAAATTGAGTACTTTTCCATTTTTTGCACATTAACTTATTGGGGGCCAAAATTAGTCCACCAAATTGATCTAATCTCGATCTCACCTGCTGAAAGCCGATCGAAATTCACTGAGCTAGAATAATTGACCGCCGATTATGTGACATGGACAATTTTCCAGTCGGCAGCCGATCAAAATTCACCGAGATAGAATTATTGACCGTCGATCAATTGACGTGGACTATATTTCCAGCCAAGTAATTCTTTTGCCAATGTAAAAATTGGGACATTTAAATTAATCAAAATCCTTCCTAATCACTCGCTAAACACTCCCTTAAAATCCAACTATCAACCATTGTCTTCAAGAACCAAATATAAATTCCAAGGAAAATGTCACAATCTGAAGTAAACATTAGAACACGAGATCCCATAAATAACCATGCAATACCTTAAATATTGACAGCAAATTCTCATCTATCCTTTTTGTTTTTTTATTTAAATATATCAACTTATAGAATTTATTATCGCACAGTTGCCTTGCAAGTTTTGGTCTTTTATACCTTATTATTATTGGCCCGGTCCTATTCATTAGGATAAGATTGTGGACCTTACCCTCACAATCCTTTTATTTCTTTTGCTAATAAAGTTGACATGGGAATTGGGAAGATATTTTCTAATCTGCCAATGTCCAATCAATGCACTCTTTTTATTTTTCAAAAGATGAGTATATTAAAATTGAAAAACTCAAAAAATAATATAAAAGGAGTGCTAACGGACACAACAAGAACCAGAAAATCTTGATCTACCCTCAGCGACGAATCGAGAAATTTTAGTAAAGGGGCCCGATTTTAAATGTTAAATAACGAGCTCGTAGTTTAAGTCGAAACACTAATTTGATATAAGTTTATATAAATATAAATATTGATATGTGTACCATCAAAATTTTAAAAACTTATAATCAGTATGATTCTCAAAATTAAAAAGTATAATTTAAGTTTAATTTCTATAATTTATAGAAAATAAGTGTTATGGTTGAAAATTTGATTTAAGTTGAACATTTATGGCACAATGCATAGCATTTGTGGTGATGTGTGTTTATCAAATAACCATTTAAAAAAAATCTAAAAATAGTGATTACAAAAAAAATAAAGTCAAAATCTACATACAAAATCTAACAATCCAATCAGTTACTCGTTATCATAAATCACTAAATTGACTTACAATTAAGAGGCGAAAGATTATAAATATTTTAAAAAAAGTTATCTTAAAATGTAAAATATAAGATTGTTAGGGTATTTTTCAATAAATATATAATGTTGTTAAATTAAGTTAAAATAGCATAAAAACTAATATTTTAATTGTTTATTTATTATAATTTTTGCATTTTTATCTATATTTTATAGTATATTTTTATATGTATATATATAATAAATTTTTGAAAAAAAAAATAAAAATCAAGGGCCTACGGGGCCTACGGGGCCCCTTGGACCTCATCTAAATCCGTCATTGTCTACCCCTTGGACAAATACATTACTTCAAAAGGTACAAACTCCATCGAGAAGATAGTCACACACAAAACCCAACTCCAAAAAAGAGACTAAACTCCATTACAAAATGGATGCCAGATATATCCGAACTTAACGAACTAAAAAAAACACAAGGAAAAATAAAAAAACTCACACCTAATAAACGAAAATAGAATAATACCACTTTAAACCTAGCAACCGAATAAAATCACACTCTTTATTATGCAAAAACCAATCTACCAAAAATATAATATTCAATAAAATCACACTAACAAGATGAATTACCTAAACATCACATATTATATAAAAAAAAAATAATAAAAAAAAAGAAAAATCAAATCACATCTAAACAAATAATAATAAAATAGAGTAAGCTCAGAAAATAAAATAAAATAATTTCTTGAATTTTACGGGGAAGTTTTCTTCAGGAGCAAGTTGTGTTTGTGCCCCTATAAATTAGACGCACTAGATCAGGTCTCTTATCCAACTCTGCATACACAGCAATAACATTCGGAATCAATAATTACATTCCTTGACCAAGAGTAAGTCTCCTCCCTCTCTCAACCAACTTTAATGTCTCCTCTCTGTTAATTCGTTCTCTGAACATCGGTTCTTGAATCTTTAGTTGTTGCATAAATGTTTGTGGGTTGGCCTTAGATTCTGAAAATCCATGTAAAGATCGAATTTTTTAGAGCGAAGACCGTATTCGAACAAGAACCCAGTTTTCTTTTTTCTTGAATAGTTATTGTTCTTGATTTAATTGTTGTTGTTGTTGTTGTTGTATGATTCTGTGCACGACGAAGTTCTGGTTTTATCAGCTTACAGAAATTGTTATGAAATCGTCTTTTGGTTGTGTCTTTTGTGTTTGACGACTTAATTTTGAGAAATTCGCGCGAGGATGTGTTGGTGTGTAATAGCCAAGAACTTATCTTTGCTTACTGTGTTCATAATATTGTATTTAATGGAGCATCTCTGGTAAAATCTGAGTACTTTTCACCCTTCGATTTTGGGCTTATTTTCCTTATTCCTGGGGTTTTGCTCTTACATTAAGTGTCCTGATTTATTTTTTTTTTATTAATGTTAGGATATGGGAAACGCATTCGGCTGCATTCAAGTTGACCAATCAACTGTTGCAATTGCAGAGAGGTTTGGTAAGTTTGAAGATGTCCTCGAGCCAGGATGCCATTGTCTGCCGTGGTGTCTCGGGAGCCAGCTGGCGGGCCATCTCTCCCTTCGCCTGCAGCAGTTAGACGTTCGCTGTGAAACAAAAACAAAGGTTTTTTGTCGGTCTTAGCCAATTTTATCAGCAATAATATGTTTCAATTGGTCTGGTTTTCTTGAATGACTCCAAGAATGTTAGATTTCAGTACATCGCATGGAAATTAAGGATGCAATGTGAATACTTGATGATTTGCTGTTTTTTTATCGATAATTTATGTGGTGGGTACTAATTGACTATATGTATATAATGAATAATACTTTTTTTGTATTCAGGACAATGTGTTTGTGAATGTTGTTGCATCCATTCAGTATCGTGCCCTTGCGGACAAGGCTAGTGATGCTTTTTACAAGCTGAGCAATACAAGAAGCCAGATTCAGGCTTATGTATTTGATGGTACAAATTTAGTTCTTACACTCGAAATTTGATGTTTTTCATCATGTTGATGGAGATTCTTATGTGAAGGAGTTCATTGGAGTTTATGGTTATGAAATCTGATATGTCAATAATTTCAGTGATAAGAGCAAGTGTTCCAAAATTGAATCTCGATGATGCATTTGAGCAGAAAAACGACATTGCGAAGGCCGTTGAGGATGAACTCGAGAAGGTTATATATAATATCTGCTTTTATAATTTATCTTAATTTATTTAATTCTTAAGTATCAACTATCATATATTGATTTGCCTGAATGCTTCTTTTGCAGGCTATGTCTGCCTACGGGTACGAAATTGTTCAGACGCTGATCGTCGATATTGAGCCAGATGAGCATGTGAAAAGGGCTATGAATGAAATCAATGCTGGTAGAGTATCTTATATATAACCCATTTTTCTTGCCACTCATTTACATATGTTCTCCAAAGAAAGAACTCTTTAATTCTACATTCATTCGCATTTCCTCCCCAAAAATTGGATGGAAGGTTTTTACGGGCCCACAAAACCATCATTGCAATATAATTATAGCTTCTCCTAACCAGTTATATATATTTCTTTTATCTTTTTATACTTTATTTTCAACCAAGAAACCATTTTTCTTGCTGAGTAATTCTGTGCTCAATTCCTTTTTCTTTTATCCCTTTCGTTTATTGATTTTCGTTGTTACAGCCGCTAGACTGAGGGTGGCCGCCAATGAGAAAGCCGAAGCTGAAAAAATATTGCAGATAAAGAGAGCTGAAGGTGAAGCTGAGGCTAAGTACCTCTCGGGTTTGGGCATAGCCCGCCAGCGTCAGGCCATTGTGGACGGGCTTCGAGACAGCGTTTTGGGCTTTTCTGTTAATGTCCCTGGGACCACTGCAAAGGATGTAATGGATATGGTCCTAGTCACCCAATATTTTGATACAATGAAGGAGATTGGGTCGAGTTCCAAGTCATCGGCTGTTTTCATACCTCACGGGCCTGGTGCTGTTCGTGATGTGGCGGCCCAGATACGAGATGGGCTCTTGCAGGGTTCTCAAGTTGCGCCTTGATGTTTATACGGGTTTGTTTTTTTAAGCTGCTGGGGTTTGAAATAATTTGCTTAATCTGTTGTGAATCTGTGAAAGTTCATCTTTTTTGCATTCGTATGTGTTGATATAGTTTGAAGTGGCTTTAAGATTTGGTATGTTTTGGTACACTTGCTTTTGTGAATCTCATTTCCAAGTTGATTATGGTGATTATGGTGATTTCAGTTTATCTATTTGTTTACTTTTTTCATGGACATGCAGGTAATGTAGTTCGACTAAACTTGACTTGTGATAGCCGTAAAAGTTTTCCGTTTGTTAACCTATTTTTCTTGCCAAAAAATTGTTACGAGCGTAGGATTGTAAAATCATGTGCATTCATGGATACATTTGACAGTAAGAACACTGGATATAGTATTTTCCTGAAAGTTACTGATCAGATGAAAGGAAAACTTCTTAAAAATTTGACTTTTCTGCCTCTACCATTAGCCTTTCTACTTTGTAATGAATAAAAGGCATGTGCCTGAGGCAAAACTGACATTTTTAATATCTGGCGATCGTATCTACCAAAACAAGAAGGATATACGCTCTGCTGCTAAGAGAACAAAAAAATGGCAAGAGGGGGAAAAAAAAGACGAAGTTGAATTCGTGTTTTCCAGTCTCACTGTTTTGTATACAAGATCTTTTCTTTCTCAGGTAGGCGATTCATGATTTTGCCACATTCTTCTGATTTTTAGGATGATTATTCTTTGTCTTCTTCGTCTCCTTGTCTGAATTCTCAACCTTCTCGATTTCGCCATTCGTAATTTGGTCACTTTCCAGCCCTTTTTTGCCCTCTTTCGTGTGACTTATCTTTCTCCTTCTCGTCGTGCTTATTCTCATCTTTCGCTTTGGCTGGATTGTCATTTGTCTCCGTCTTAAAAATATAAATTGTTTTGCATGAACCTGAAAAATATGATATTCAAATATTTGTTGTTATTGATGAACAGACAATATGGATTATTGTCATGAGAAGAAAAACAGAATGCATATTTTGCAGTGAAGCAAGTAATTTATCACTCCTGATTACTTATATTTTTACCAAAATGGGAAAAGTGGACACCATGAAACAAGAAAGTGATGGCCTGGTACAAATTATGTCCTACTTTTGTGCATTCTCAACAAAATATTTTGGCAATTTATTTTTGACAGTAGTGCTATGGAGATTTAATGTGGGACATCCCCATGTGGAGATGTTTGATTGGTGGTTGGCTCCATAAGGGAGCCAACCATTGGCTCCATAGCATTATTGTTATTTTTGAAGCATTGTCTAGTACAATGATTTGGCTCGACTGATTCATTTAAGACCGAAAAAAAATAATAATAATGAGTTGTTGCAAACATGCTCAGTTCGGCTCATTTAATAAGCGAGCTACATTAATTATTCGTCTATGATGTTCGTTTAGGTGCTCGAAAAAATTAGGCTCCGCGTAGACTGGTTCAAGCGGTTTCAAAGTCAGTCACACCTAAATTGATTAGACGGTCTCTAGGCGCTTTTTCTATCAACAATAACAACAACAACATAGTCTTTTAGTCCCACGTAATTTGGGATAGGCTAGAGATGAAACCCAAGAGAACCAATGGTAAGAGAAATACAAAAAGGGCTCAAAACAAAAGGAAAAGAGTGGAGCAAAAGAGAAAGGAGCAAAAGTCACGGTTCTGGCACGTTGATTGCTAGCTTCAAAGCGCTCCTGTCCACCGTTAAATCCTTGGAGATATTCCAATCTTTAAGGTCTCTTAACCGACTCTTCCCAAGTGAGTTTAGCCCGACCTCTACCTCTCTTTACATCATCGATTCGCTGTAGAACTCCCCTACACACCGGTGCATCAGGAGGCCTCCGTTGGACATGTCCGAACCACCTCAGCCGATGTTGAATCAATTTCTCCTCAATTGGAGCCACCCCGACCCTATCTCGAATATTCCCATTCTGGATTCTATCCCTTCTTGTGTGCCCGCAAAACCAATGTAACATACGCATCTCTGTTACACTTAATTGTTGGACATGTTGCCTTTTTGTAGGCCAATATTTAGCACCGTATAGCATCGCCGAACGAATCACCGTCATTTTTGTAGGCGCTTTTTCTATATATTTTTTAATTTATTTTCAAAATAAAATAAAAACAAGTAAATGTGAGTGGGTGGGTTATTTTTTTAAAATAAACAAAAAATCTGTGGCAAAAAATAAAAAAAAAAAAAATAATTGTGGAAAAAAATCAAACGGACGGATTCTGAAAATCCGTGTTTCTAATTAAAATTTTTAACCGAAACACGGATTCTCAGAATCCGTCTTTGTTTTACATTTAATTTTTTTTTTTTAAAATCAAAGTCGAAACTGTCGGTGGAT